AGGGACAACAGAGAAAGCAATAAAGAAAAGGGTCGGCTTCATCTTTGGCTGACGGACAATGCACGTGTGTATGATGTTGGGCCGATATCCCGTGAGGCTGATGACGCTGCCGCGAGCTCCCTTTTGATGAAGAGTGGGAATGAAAAGTTGATCTCAGTGTACGAAAAAAAGAAGAGTGATGACGGGTCATACAGTCTTGTCGCCGTGAGCCTGGGGAAGCAGCTGGAGCGGATCAAATCCATGGTGAAGAAATGGAAGGATTTGGACGGCGCCCTGAAAAAATGCAGTTCCGGTTCCAGCGCCACTGTCGACTTGCCAACGAAGGGTATGTGCAATGGTCCTGTTCCCACTGATGGGCTTGTTGGCTTCTTGTCCGGTAACTTCTCTGAGAACACATGGAGAGACGAGTACCTCTGCGTGAATGCAACTGTGAAGAATGGGGAGAGAAGGGTTCCCAATGGATGGACGTTCAAAGGGTCTAGAGCAGGGGCGGTGTGGCCTGTTGGCGACATGGGGCAGACTGTGCCGTACTACTTTGCTAACAACAAGTTCACTCTTGTGGCGACGGTGTCCATCCACGAGGTGCCGCAGAGTGGCAGCCCCATTTCTTTGATGGGTGTGAGGATGAATGACACCAGCAGCACGGTGCTCTTTGGTCTGTCGTACACCCATGAAAGAAAGTGGGAGTTCACACTTCCCAATGGAGCTTCTGAAGACTATGAATATGATGAATATGATGAATATTACGAATTTAATAAAAATTGGCAACCAAACACAACACATCAAGTAATGCTGCAAATGGAAGTCAATGAGTGGGATGTGTACGTTGATGGAAGGCAGGTTTATTCTGGGCACTACAACGGGGATTTGTTTGAAGAGCACAGGATCTCACACTTCTATTTTGGCGCGGAGAATAAGGAGGGTTCGGAAAGCAGCCACGTGACAGTGAGCAACGTCCTGCTGTACAACCGCACAATCAGTACGGATGAAATTGCGCTACTCAGTACCAGCAAAGTCCCTATTCCAAACCCTGGTGAGGAGTCACGCTCGGTGCCGGAGAAAACAACAAATTCTGCTGCCCAGGCACCATCACCTGAGGTTAAGAAAGCATCTCAAGACGAAGAGGAAGAAAAAACGCAGGAAGTTGAGGAGGCGCCATGGCCACAATCATCCGTGAAAGCTTCTGAAGGCAGTCATGCTGCCGCAGTGTCTTCTGGGGACCGTGGCTCGCACGGAACAAGGGAGGAGGAGACGGAGAGGGATGGCAGCGGCGAATTGGCGCCTCCACCGGCCTCATCGAGTGTGAGCACTGCCTCTCATTTGGGCAGCGACGGGATGGGTGTCCGTGAAAGCACCTCTCTGCAGGAAGAAGTGCCACCACATCCCGGGACTGAAGTCATTCCGAAGGCCGACGTGGAGCGACCGATCCACGAAGAAGAAGCGACCTCTCCGGAAGGGGCCACTGAGCGGCAGACGCAAGAAACCACTGCGCCTTTGGTTGAAAATGAAGACAGTGAGGACGTTGGCACCGCATCGGGCAATACAAGCACCCTGCCTGGGGAAACCAAGATCCCATCGGGGTCCAACGCAACA